CTAGGGACTAAACATTCAAATACAAGAGCCTATGGGAAACATTGTTATCAAACCACCACTAAATGTAATTTTAAAATATCAACTTATTTAAAATAAGACATAAAAATACCCCAAAAGTGATTTCTGTTTTGTTTTTGTTGCTGTTTTGATTGTTAATTAATTAATTTTGTTTTGTTTTGTCCAAGATTTATCTTGTTGTCTACAATAATAAACCCTGATCCTGGTCTTTTACCTGTAAGGAACTGAAAGCTTCAACAGTAGGTTGCTCCAAAGATTGATCATGTACTCAAAGCTAGTTGTTCATGTACAATTACTAGAACATCTGACTACAAAGACAATAGCACTGGACCTTCAACCATGAACCTGAATGCTTTTTTCCAAAATGAATATTGACACAGGAGTTTCACAAACTTCAATAATCAAAGTTCCAGTACAAGAATCACTGTGAAGACTAGAATAGCTACATCTTTGAATTCCAAACACTCCATCCAATGACATCCGTCTTCAAATAAATACTCTAGCCATAACCTAAAGAAGACATACTCTTTTTAGATAGCTCATGTATATTACAGTTAGCATATTTTTGTATTTGTGTCTTTTTATTTAATATACTTCATGCAATATAGGCAAGGCAAGTTTAGTCCATCCCATTTCCTCACTTAACAGTATTCAAATGCTTGAGGTTAGGAACTCAATTCAGTATTAAGTAGAAGAGTTATTTGAACTTGGTGTAACCACTTAATCTATTATCTTTATCTTTTCTCAAATTGGAATTGCAATAAATTTCATAACATGCAAAAGAATTTCTTTATGTGTCTTTTAATTAACATTTTAAATTATGCAAATTATGCAGGAATTTATAATAGCTTTCAAATTAAAATTAGTCCATCTCAGTTGTTTAGTTTTGGTCAATTTGACACAAATTAGAGTTATCTGGGAAGAAGAACCCTCAATGAAGGAATTGCCTCCATCAGGTTGCCCTTAGGCAAATAAGTATATGGGGCTTTTCTTGATTAATGATTGACGTGTGAGGTTCCAGCCCACTATAGGCAGGGCTAGCCCTGGGCAGACAGTCCTGGGTTGTATAAGGAAAGTATATGAGCCATCTGCAGGAAGCAAGCCAGTAAACAGTGCTCTTCCATGTTCTCTGTGTTGCCCATCTCCAGGTTACTGGCATGAGCTTGTCCTATTTTCCATTAATGATGGACTGAGATATGGAAGTATAAAACAAACCAGTCCTTTCCCTCCCAGTTTGCCTTAGTCATGGTGTTTATCACAGCAACAGGAAAGCAAACTAGAATGTATTAATGCACATGTACACTCAAACTTACCACAAATCAAAGAACTCCAGCCTATTATGTTTTGACATTGATATCTCTATGTTATCACAATATCCTGTAATTTTCCTCTCCTTTTGAGTTAAAGAATTGAAATCAGTTTCTTTTTAAGTAGTTACAAATATTTCAAGCCATTTATATAGTCCATATATATACATATACATATACATATACATATACATATACATATACATATACATATACATATACATATACATATACATATACATATACATATACATATACATATACATATACATATACATATACATATACATATACAGAGCCTTGCACAGATAAGCAAGATCTCTGACACTGTGCACATCTATATTTCTCTTTATCACATTTCTCTCTCTCTTTCTCTCTCTCTCTCTCTCTCAAGTACACACACACACACACTTTTAAAATAACATTTTAATTCTTTGATAATTTCATACATATATCCAAGGTGCTTTGATCATATTCACCTCCTCCTTGTCTTCATATTTCTCACAGCTTCACCCTTACCCCCTCCCTTTTATATTTTGAGGTGAAGCTTCATGAAATTTTGCAGGCTACCCTTGATGTCACTCTGTAAGCTAAGTGTTCTGCTTCAGCCTCCCAAGCAGTTGAGGTTTCAGGCATTATTGAATAATTTTTATTTCAAGTACACATGAGAATGTCAGTTTCCCTCCGAAGAAAGCAAAGGCACCTACTGAGACAGACTCCAGACTCTATGAGAAGAGAGTATCTATCAAACACCTTGCATTTAGGATGCTCCATTCTCCCTGCAACTACCATCAGCTTGGAGACAGATCTCTTGTCTTAAGCTGAATCTATATTTGCACCTTGCTGTAGGAATGTGATGGCATCCTAGTCATGTCTGAGTAAATGCATTTTCCAAATTAGTTGATAAAGGAAATCTTCTTACCATGATTAATAATAATAATAATAGTAACAATAATATCCATTTTATTGTTATAATTTCAAATTCAGGAAATATTGTTCTCTTTAATTTAATTATATTCAGAATGTTCTTGATTAAGGCATCATCTTTTCCTGAGCAGCTGTGCAGTTCACATATCCTTTTGTTGTAGAATTACCGTACTACTTATTAAGAGTATTTATGAATTTATATTTTCAATTGGACCATGAACTCACTGGGAATAGAGACTGCATTTTTCTTGCTATTTTTGATTCTTCAATAAATCAGAAGATACAAACAATTCTTTTCCTTGTCTTTAGAATTCCATCTCAGGAATTTCTAAAGTGTTTACATAATGGGTGCAGAAGTAGTGCTATCTCCTGTGAATGCCAAGAGTTGAGAACAGATGCAAGAGTTGAGAACAGATGCAGATGTTTCTATGCAAGAAACAGAAAGAACAGAGAGAAATTGAACCAGACCATATCTAACACATCTTCTCAAGGATAAATCAAGTTAAATCTAGAGAGATAAATTATGTTTGTCAACTGCAAAGAAAGCATATAAACCAATAATAAGAGCACCCAAATTGAGTGACTATAACAGGAAAATGATGGCATGCAGAGGTCAGACTGAAGGAGAGAGTCAAGAAACCTAAATTCCTACAGCTGTGGCACTGGTAGTTTATTTGGAGAAAACTGCTTATGCAGATCATATGAAGAGCATCATAGGCATGTGTGTGCATGGGAACACGCATACACACACATGGCTATAATCTCTCTCTCTCTTTCTCTCTCTCTCTCTCT